TGTTCCAGCAGAGGCAGAGCAGGCGGGGTAGCCCTCCTCATCGAAAAACTCTCCCAAGACCTGAGGACTTTTTGTGATGAAGAAGTGAATTCAGTCGACACCAGCAAGCGTTTGCTTCCTGTCACAGCGGCTAAGGCCGCGATTCAGTAGCTGTCTTCAAAACCGGTCAAGGCAAGACCAAGGAACGGGGATTTGTGGTCGTTGGGGCTCAATATGGAAGGGTCTTAACAGCCTTTCGGTTGCTGGGGAGGGGAGTCAGTAACTGAGCTCCAGCTTAGAAGATGAACTTGCTGATCTCCTTCCCAGGGAAGGAAAGCACTGGCAGCTACAGCAGATAATCATTAATCGATATATCTTGGGAAATATCTTGGGTCAACGTCACTGTTCAAATGGCTGGAAGTTGGTGTTATTGTGGAGTGCTTGCATACATACATAAACTGCAGACACTCTAGAGGTTTTTTCATCTGAAAGTGCATATGTTGCCACAGCTGTAATAAAAGCTATTCTGAACTGTGGAAGTAAAGCACTGTATGCTTCCTACCTTGCATGTGTATGTTATTTTTATATACATCTTGTTTTTATTTAATTCCTGTTTTTATTTAATTCCTGTTGAGTGTCTGTGTTGATGAATAATTAGAACCAGGAATGGAATGCCAGCTTTTTGAATATGCCATTATTTTGTTTCATTCATGTTTTATTCCCTCCTAAAACCCATTCATATTTCAAGGTACTGGAAAGCAAAATATTTTGATGGCCATCTTTGCAGAATATATCCCTGAATGGATGAGGAAGTAGTAATTTTAGTTAGTACTAAATTTAAAACAAAAAAAGGGAAGGCAGCACAATGAGCTTAGTTTTCCATTTTTATCTGTCATAGATGTAAATAATTCAAACATATAAGCATGGGAAGAAGTTGACCATTTGAAACTGTGACTGAATGAGTGTTGTAGGATAACGTTGAAATTTCCTGTGTGCTTTGATTTGACATTCTTTAGAAAAAAGTTGCTTTTGCTGAAGTATAAACCAATTAAAAGTTAATATTGGTTTTTTCATTGGGCACCCATGCCAAATTACAATGTTCATGCATTTCATGCGTATGCTTATGTAATTAAGCATCCACTAATTTCTTTCTCTTTGGGAAATACTTCTGCAAATCAGCACTCCGTATACGCAGAGTTAAAATCATATCATCTGTTGTTTAAGGTAAGGATAAGGACAGACTTTATTATTATTTTATAATAGATTCTTGATCCTTTATTCTGTGAAATGTTGATGCTTTCATTAGAGTTAAAATATGTTGCGTGTTTACAGAAAGCCTGAAATCTCAATATGTGGTCCTATCAATTTTAATTATTTGAATCTTTAGAACATCTACTTTTTTGCTTAAGGATGCGCGAATGTACCATTGAATCTGTTTTTTAAGGTTTTTTCCAGTTTAATGTCTGAATCCAAATTCATAAAGAGTTGGAAAAATGAGATGTCTGAGCTATAGGATTCACAGGGATTTTATATGAAGCCTATTTAATCAGGATAACACTGTTATTAATATTCATAAAGTCAGCTGGAACACAAATGACAGACTATGGAGCCTAAAATTTTTTACTTGTGAATTTATTAAAAGCAGCTTAAAAAATTAATGGAATTTAAGTAAAGTTGACGAAAATGAAAATCTTATGCTAGCAGAAAAAAATCTTATTAGAACTTTCTCTAAGACCATCTTGCATTGATATCTTTGACAGATTTCATTGGTACTTAAAGAAGAAAGATGCATGAATGGTCATTTAAAAGGATTTAAACACATTGGCACATTAATTTTTACATGAATAATAAGTAGTTTCCAAAAGCAATTAACTTACAGTGTACAAGATTTGAATAGAAAAATAGTACTGTGACATCAAAGGGCAAAGAAAATGTGCTGTACATTTTAAACTTTTAATGATACGTCTTCTTAAAATGATTTGTTTCATTTGCACAGTAGATAAAGTAATAGTAAAGGTATTTGCGTACAGCTTGGGTTTGTTTTGAAATACACCAAGATCTGGAACAAAGAAATATTTTAATGCCAAAGTGCTATTGATAAAGAACAATTTCAGGCTTTCAGAGTGATCAGGTGCTTTTGAATTGAGCTTTCTTACGGTCAATTTCTGTGAGTGGAAAATAGTCATATACTGACCACAGCATATGATTTTTCTCCCATGCTGCTATATGCAGCACTGGGAAGCATTTGTTATTTTTTGTAGAGGGCAAAATAGGTAGATCTGGGATTTCTTTCATTAGTAGGAAGGTACTGGTCAATTTATATTCATATCTGTAGGTGGTTTTGTGCTTAAATATTTAGCAGGAATTTTACATGACTATTGGATATTATATTCAACTGAAAATGACAATTTTTTTTTTTTTTTAGCTTTCTATGTGTGATATTGAAGTAGTAGTCTTAACACTAGCGTAGGTTGAATATATAGGTAGTGAATAAGCAAATTAGTATTTAAAATTAACTCTAAATTTTGGGTTACACTTTCATTTTGGCTTTTCACTTTTCTCTCGGTCTACCAGTATACTTCATTTCAATCTCTAGCTTGAATTTCTTTCGATTTTTTTGGCTGACTATTAGCAGATTATCTTCAAATGGAAGTAAGAAAAGCTTTAAAATAATTGTATTTAATTTTTCTGATGATTCCTCCAGGGAAAACCTTTATGCCCAACCTCTGATTCTTGTTGATGTGGTGAAGTTTGACACTGAATAATGATGGTTTAATAAGTTCTGCTTCTAAAAATACCTTATGTTTGAAGTACCTACTGTAAAGGTACATCTTGAATCATATGTAAGTGTTGTGCATACGTTAGAGACCTATTCCAGTGTTTGTGTTCAGAAACACCGATTTACATACTTAGCGTATGGAATATTTTGTTGTTCTGTTTACTAACATTTCTAATGACAGGCAAAGCATACTGCAAGCCCTAGGGACCCCCAATAAGTCTTTATTTTTTACTTCGAGCAATAGGTTGCCTTAATCTGATATCAACAATATTTTTATTTTCTGTCTGTGTAATCCAGAAAATTCCTGTTAATCACCAGAATAGATTTCCCCTGTGAAGACACAGTCTGTAAAATTAGCCTCTTGACTTTCAATTATTCCCGTGCCATAGTCTATTATTTCCAGGAGAGGGCAGCATTTTCCTACATCAGGTACGTGAAAGCACATGCCCTGCTTAGACTGTCAATGTTTCTTGTAATTACTCCCAGTATATTTGTTGCTTGCTTATGAATTAACTTGCATTTATGGAACTAAATCATTCCAATCATTTAATTACACCTGAGGAGCTGAACTATAATTGCTTGCTTCCAACTAGGATCTGATATGGCTTGAGCAGTATTAATTTGGTGTTTACTTTTCTGAGTGCTAAAAGCATTAAAATGATTGTGCAATGGGATTACATTTTACTAATTGCTGGCATTCATTAGCTGGGTAAATGGCGAGGAAGAATGACTGTATATTGTGGAGGGATAAAATTATGGTTTTAAATAGTATATTACTAGGCACATTAAGGCCCTAAGACATGTTTTAAAATACTCCAGAGGTTATTAAATACCGTATTTTCTTCATGTCTTGCTATAGGAATATCTTATTAAAATACTGCAATTATTATGAACCTTTTTGTGCAATAT